CCATGCCTGGGAATTCTTAGGTGAGCTTCTGGAGAGCAGAGGCTATATCTTAGTCATTTTAGAAATGTCCATAACATGGCCTTTGATGGGCACTTAATAAATATGTATTTATTAAAAGAAGGTATTGGTCATAGGTGTTGGCAGTACTTGCTTTTAGACTGTTTTTATATTAAAGTGGGATGTATTGCTCATAAGAAGGAACCAGAGTAGGATGCATCCCTGGGATGCAAGGCTGGTTCAATATACGGAAATCAATAAATGTTATTCACCACATAAATAGACTTAAAAATAAGAACCATATGATCATCTCGATAGATGCGGAAAAAGCATTCGACAAAGTACAGCATCCCTTTATGTTCAAAACTCTAGAAAAACTAGGGATAACAGGAACATACCTCAATATTGTAAAAGCAATCTATGCTAAGCCTCAGGCTAGCATCATTCTGAATGGAGAAAAATTGAAGGCATTCCCTCTAAAATCTGGAACAAGACAGGGATGCCCTCTCTCACCACTTCTGTTCAACATAGTTCTCGAAACACTGGCCAGAGCAATTAGACAGATGAAAGAAATTAAAGGCATCAAAATAGGAAAAGAAGAACTTAAATTATCACTATTTGCAGATGACATGATTCTATACCTAGCAGACCCAAAAGGGTCTACAAAGAAACTATTAGAGCTAATAAATGAATTCAGCAAAGTGGCAGGATATAAAATCAACACGCATAAATCAAAGGCATTCCTGTATATCAGCGACAAATCCTCTGAAATGGAAATGAGGACAACCACTCCATTCACAATATCTTCAAAAAAAATAAAATACTTGGGAATCAACCTAACAAAAGAGGTGAAAGACTTATACAATGAAAACTACAGAACCCTAAAGAGAGAAATAGAAGAAGATCTTAGAAGATGGAAAAATATACCCTGTTCATGGATAGGCAGAACTAACATCATCAAAATGGCAATATTACCAAAAGTTCTCTATAGGTTTAATGCAATGCCAATCAAAATCCCAACGGCATTTCTTGTAGAAATAGAGAAAGCAATCATGAAATTCATATGGAAAAATAAACGACCCAGAATAGCAAAAACAATGCTAAGCAGGAAGTGTGAATCAGGCGGTATAGCGATACCAGACTTCAAACTATGCTACAGAGCAATAGTAACAAAAACAGCATGGTACTGGTACCAAAACAGGCGGGTGGACCAATGGTACAGAATAGAGGACACAGAAACCAATCCACAAAACTACAACTACCTTATATTTGATAAAGGGGCTAAAAGCATGCAATGGAGGAAGGATAGCATCTTCAACAAATGGTGCTGGGAAAACTGGAAATCCATATGCAACAAAATGAAACTGAATCCCTTTCTCTCGCCATGCACAAAAGTGAATTCAAAATGGATCAAGGAGCTTGATATCAAATCAGAGACACGCCGTCTGATAGAAGAAAAAGTTGGCTACGATCTACATACTGTGGGGTCGGGCTCCAAATTCCTCAATAGGACACCCATAGCACAAAAGTTAATAACTAGAATCAACAAATGGGACTTAGTCAAACTAAAAAGTTTTTTCTCAGCAAAAGAAACAATAAGAGAGGTAAATAGGGAGCCTACATCCTGGGAACAAATCTTTACTCCTCACACTTCAGATAGAGCCCTAATATCCAGAGTATACAAAGAACTCAAAAAATTAGACAATAAGAGAACAAACAACCCAATCAACAAATGGGCCAAGGACCTGAACAGACACTTCTCAGAGGAGGACATACAGTCAATCAACAAGTACATGAAAAAATGCTCACCATCTCTAGCAGTCAGAGAAATGCAAATCAAAACCACCCTAAGATACCATCTCACTCCAGTAAGATTGGCAGCCATTATGAAGTCAAACAACAACAAGTGCTGGCGAGGATGTGGGGAAAAGGGTACACTTGTACATTGCTGGTGGGACTGCAAATTGGTGCAGCCAATTTGGAAAGCAGTATGGAGATTTCTTGGAAAGCTGGGAATGGAGCCACCATTTGACCCAGCTATTCCCCTTCTCGGTCTATTCCCTAAAGACCTAAAAAGAGCATGCTACAGGGACACTGCTACATCGATGTTCATAGCAGCACAATTCACAATAGCAAGACTGTGGAACCAACCTAGATGCCCTTCAATAGATGAATGGATAAAAAAAATGTGGCATTTATACACAATGGAGTATTACTCTGCATTAAAAAATGACAAAATCATAGAATTTACAGGGAAATGGATGGCATTAGAGCAGATTATGCTAAGTGAAGCTAGCCAATCCCTAAAAAATAAATGCCAAATGTCTTCTTTGATATAAGGAGAGTAACTAAGAACAGAGTAGGGACGAAGAGCATGAGAAGAAGATTAACATTAAACAGGGATGAGAGGTGGGAGGGAAAGGGAGAGAGAAGGGAAATTGCATGGAAATGGAAGGAGACCCTCAGAGTTATACAAAAGTACATACAAGAGGAAGTGAGGGGAAAGGGAAAAATAATACAAGGGGGACAAATGAATGTCAGTAGAGGGGGCAGAGAGAGAAGAGGGGAGGGGAGGGGAGGGGAGGGGGGATAGTAGAGGATAGGAAAGGCAGCAGAACACAACAGACACTAGTATGGCAATATGTAAATCAATGGATGTGTAACTGATGTGATTCTGCAATCTGTATATGGGGTAAAAATGGGAGCTCATAACCCACTTGAATCAAAGTGTGGAATATGATATATCAAGAGCTATGTAATGTTTTGAACAGCCAACAATAAAAAATTAAAAAAAAAAAAAAAAGGAAGGAACCAGAAGTGCCCTCACCCACTCCTAGTCTGGTGGCTGCCTTCTAAGGGCCTCTGGCCCATCATACTGTCCTGCTTCCTGTGCCTGTCCCTCCACATTGTTTGCTTTACCCAGTCGGTTGGAGAATCTACGCAGTGGAAGACAGAAGTAATGTACCAGGAATGTTCTGTGTGGGCTCCTACAGAGAAGAGGGGTCCTTGCAGCTGTTGCAGCTGTGTTTCAGTAACTAACAAACCTCAGTTCTCTAGACTCCTTGGGACACCCTCATATACAGGTGAGGTTTCCAGGTCCCTGTGGATTGACCCTTTAAATACGTATACTTCCTTAAGTCATTCTCAATTTAATATTTTTATTTTAAAGTGTATTGGCCATTTTCCCGTGTTTTTAAAGAAGAGTTTTCATTTTTTTCTTTGGAACAGAGGGGTGGTATTTGAAAGCTGTCATACTGAGGTGCTTCTCAAGGGTGTGTGTGTAACTTGCATCTGTAACTAATGACTCCAGGCACCTGAAGACACACAAATAAAAATTTTATAGTCTTCCTGTTGGCTACTTTGTAATTAGGGTATTGGTTGAAACTTGTAACTGTTGTCACATACCTGCCTTTATGACCTCTTGTGTCTTTCTAATCTGTTAGAAAATAGAAAAATCGTAAACTGTGAAGTTGGAAATAAACTGTAAAATTGAAAACCACATAATCACTTTTTATTTGCTCATTCATGTATTTATTTAGACATTTGTTGCTTCACCAAATGTGTGTTCAGCCAAGCGTTGTGTGATGCACTGGGGTGGCAAAGATTAAACAAAACATGTTCCTTGCCCTTCAAGAGCCTTCTAGAAGGGAAGGGTGTAGAGGACTATGGTGGCAAATGGGGCAGGGGAGCACACAGGAGGACACCTACTCCAGTGGAGTGGTGGAAACCAGAGCTGCCCTCTCCCTGTTCAGAATAAAAGGGAAGGGGACTGAATCCCCAGAAATGGTCCAGAAGTTCTTAACCCATGAGCACAACAGCTTCTCTGCATGTACCTTGTACTTCCCTGTTGGCTACAGCCATTCCCATGTCTGTGCCATGTTCTAGACTGAGTCCACTATGAGCTGATCACAAGACAGGCAAGGTCTTCCTGATGTGATACTCGGGGGATCACTTGGATAAGGTACTGACCCCCAGAACTTCCCACTATAAAGGGCACAGTCCCCTTTTGTAGTAAATAATTTAAATGATAATACCTTGATATGTGGGAATGTCTTGATCCCTAAAAGTCTCTCATCTGATATTTTACTGTTCACTGGACAAGCCTTTTGGAGTTAGCTATGGATGTTACAAAATTGTGATTTTTCTATTTCTAATATTTTTTTCTACTTTTTTTTTCTACTTTTACTGATGGTGTTCTGTAAAGATCTTATTCTTTGTCTTCCTTTGTCTTCCCTCCCATTATGAACTGAGGAGTTTTTATGTATGTAATGTATTACAGTGAGTTACAGCCATTATTCTTTAAACTGTCTCAGTGTGGCCATTTGGGACTCCTTCAGGTTGGTCCCTGGATCCTTGTGAGCACATCCTTGAGCACATCCCTGTTTTTTGGTACAGGGTGTCCTAGGCTCACCTTGTGCATTTCCTGCCTCACCCCTGGATCAGCCATTTCTCAAGAAGCCCTTTTGTTGCAGAATAATATTTAGAAATTAATATTTGGGCATCAGGATACTCACTGCTAGGAAGATGCCATTACTTCTAGACTCCTTTCGGTGACTGAAGCTAGGGAATATTTTAAAAGAGAAATGTTTGTATTCATGTTTCTTCTTTTTCAATGTTTCTTCCAAAGTGTTAATCTGATGTAGGTCCTTGGTCAGAAACTCAAGGTAGTAATTTCAGATTTTCTAAAAACCTTTTCTTTTTAAAAACTTGGAGTTCTTTTGTAACTATTATTCTTATCTCTGGAGAGAGAAGGGCCTAGAACATACATCCCTTGTTACTTAGGAAAGAAACTGTTCTCATAAAAATTAAATAAGTTGCCCAAGACAATGATACTATGGTTTAATTTTGTGTACTTTTAAGCATTTTTGTGGCCCTTTTGTAATGGGAAGGGATCGCTGCAATCTTTTTGCTTTTTAGTGCACTTGGTTTGTATCTAAAACAACATATCAAAAAATCCATGTTTAATGTCGCCAATGTTTATAATTTGCTCTGATTGCTTTCAGGTGCAGCTAAATCAAGTCCAGCATCTAAACCGGGATCCACACCTTCTCGCCCCTCCTCTGCCAAAAGGGCTTCCTCCAGTGGCTCAGCATCCAAATCTGATAAAGATTTAGAAACACAGGTCATACAGCTTAATGAGCAGGTAACTCCTATCTCTGGATCCAGTGACATGTGTAAGGGGCAGGGAGACAGACCCCGACTGGCCTTAGGCAGGGAAGGGATGGTGAGGCAGAATCAGTGGTGTCAAGCAAGAATAAAAGGAATTGCTTAGGAAGGGAAAATTAGTAGCTTATGATGAATAACAGATGTTAGTCATAAATTTCAAAGCTTTACATTAAGAGAGGGCAGATGACTCAGCCTTGCTCCTCCTCCCCTATACCTCAGTGGCCATCCCGAGCTCCAGGCTGAGTAATCCTAGTATAGACATGGCCTACCCTGCCCACTTATGGCCAATCTAGACAGTGTTAAAGGCTGCTCCAGTGTGTGGTTGTCTCCCTCGCACCACCTCCCTCGCCTGTCCATCCATCCTTCCTTCTTTTCTTTCAGCAATTATTCATTGAACCTTTTTCTATGTGACAGATACTGTACTTAGTGCTAGTAATTTAATGGTAGCAAGATTAGGTTCATTTTCTTTTCTCAGAACATACAGCAGTTGCACACAGTAGGTTATTACTTAAGCAAAATAAAAAAACTCCAAACTTGGGGATGGGGTGCAGCTCAGCTGTAGAGCACCTGCCTGGCATGCCTGAGGCCCTGGGATTCACCTCCAGCACCTGAAAAAAACACGTCTTTCCACAGTGGCAGGTGTTGGATGCCCTAGAAACACTGAACTCAAAACTGGGGGAATATGAAAGGCTATAGCTGTGTTATAAGTATAACTTTTCTTCTTAGTCTACAGCTCTTCACAAATTAAATAAATATACTTCTGCTGACTTTGAAATAAAAACTTGAGTATGTAGCCAGGCATGGTGGCGCACACCTGTAATCCCAACGGCTTGGGAGGCTGAGGCAGGAGGATCGTGAGTTCAAGCCGGCCTCACTGGTGAGGCTCTGAGCAATTCAATGAGACCCTGTCTCTAAATAAAATACAAAAACAGGGCTGGGGATGTGGCTCAGTGGTCGAGTGCCCTTGTTCAATCTCCAGTAACAAAAAAAATTAACAAAAACCACTTAAGAATGCTTTTTAACTAGCACTAACCAACTTTGCCTTAGATTATAAGTAGTTTAAAGGTAATAAAACAACAAGGAGTGAAGGACTCCCTGCAGAAGCCAGGGACCTTGGCAGCTTTCTTCCCACCCCTCCACCATGGCAAGAGGAACCTTGACTCCAGGTCCTCAGGCGGTTCCCAGCCGTGTCCCAAGCCAGTTTCCAGTGATTAATCTTTTTCTTGATGAGCCAGCAAGAGTCTGGAAACTGTTTTTGAGGTAATTGTATACTTGCAATCAAGATTTTAGTTTAAAAAGCAGGCAGTTGCTTAACTAGAGTGCTTCTGTACAAGTCCAATCACTTCAAGGAAAAACTCTAAGTCATCTGGGAGGTAGGACTTTGACCTAAAAACTGTGGAATGTTCTAGACATTTGCTTATTCTCAGTTTGTGCCTCGGGACAGTTTCCAGTAGTAACTTCTTCAGGTAAAAAGACAGTAAGGTCAGCAGTGATGAGCTCCAGGCCACACACAAGCAACTCAGCCTGAACTTCGAGAGAATTGGGCTTGGGTACTTTGGATTTATTACTCTTTTCTCCTAAGGAACACAGATTTTTTTGCTTTGCCATCTTGTGTTCTTTGTGACTCCTCTTCTCCCTGACTTCTCCTCCCACCACATCCAGGCCTCCAACCCCCAGAGCAAATTCTGACCACGTGGATGCCTCAGGGTCCTTCCTTTCCTCCCTGTCCCTCACAGCCTTGACCAGCCAAACCACTTCTTCTCCTTGGATCTGACACTAGGCTCCTAATAGCTCTCAAATCACACAAAGAGACTCTCATTCCTAGACCCCCATTCCCAGATCCCCAAACTACCTCAGCTAAACTGTCCTGCCATTCAAAATGCCACTCCAGAGAGGCCAGAGGGAGAAAAGAGAGAACCGTACACCAGCCTTCCTTCCCCTTGTCATAGCTCTTAACTTCCTCCTAAGAAGCCTCGCTCCCACTTCTTGCCCCCTATTGCCTTCATGATTAGGAGGACCAGGCCTGGCCCCCCTGTCCCTCAGAGGTAAGGTAGGACACACCCTAAATTGGGAGTCCTTCCAAAGGTTTACCGAGCACTTATTTCACCAGTGATCTGATTGCTCCCTCCTTTGGGTGTCCGTGAAGCCTACAGGAACCCCCTCCCCACAAGCCTGGTGGCAGCCCCACAGGCAGACAGGGTTGGAACTGAGAGCACCTGGGACAAGGAGAGACCGAGTTGGAAATGCCTGGGCAAAAGGGTGAATTACAACAGTAATAGAGAAAGTGACAAGTGTCGTAAACTAAGAATTTTCATGTACTTGGCCTCATGCCTTTATTCAGGCAATATCCCATGATAAACTATAAAAGTAACACAGTGCTAGACAGCTCCAGTGATAGAAATGAATCAAAAGATGTCAGAGAGGAAAAGCCATAAATAAAATAATTAGGAACTCTTCTGGACAGTGGGTGAGCCAACAGGAAGTAGGTTGGAATCAGGGACTGCTGGCAGGAGAGGCTGGGCATTGAGTAGCCCAGGCAGAGACCGTGGCTGTCACATGGACTACAAGGCATGGGAGGACCTGTAATCTGTGGACACACTAAGGGGAGTTGGGAAAATTGTGAAAAGAAAACTTCCCCTCCATGGCCCTCGACCTCCTCCATAACTCAGGCATCCCATGTCATATGGCATCCCGTGTCACATGGCATCCCATGTCATATGGCATCCCACCACCTGGGGATCAGACTGGTTTTGGTCTCTGTGAGCAGGCCTGTGAAAATGGAATTTCAGTTGCCAATTGCTCTTTCATCATATAACCCAGCTGCTGTGAGATTTTACTAAGGAATGTATATAGCCAAGTACCGCTCACCTAGTACCCATGGAGTGCCACAGAGCCCGACTCAGGCTAAGTATTTCTATAGAAGCCACAGCTATTTTCTTACAATGCAAACCACACCATGCTCAGGATGTAGACAGACTTAGTTTTCATGGGTTGACTGTGTTCTTGTCTGAAATGGAGCTAGTGAGTGGGGGTACCCCTGAATTACCACAGGTCCATCTGTGGCACCAGCCCAGAGCTGAGATGCATTCTATGGCTGAGCCCAGAGAAGGGGTTGGTTTGTTTAAAACAGGAAAGTATTGCTAGAACAAACTTTTTTTCTAAAATTTAGTCTGGTTACCTTCAGTTTTTGCAAATGTCCCAAATATACTATTAGCAGAAATGAGAGTTAAAAGTCAGTGAATGGAACCTTCACAGCTTTATCAGTAGGTACAGAGCAGCCTCCGTGAGGTTAACGTTCAGGGGCCATATTCCTAAGACTTCTAGGTGGATCTGAGTTTACATAAATATAGATGAACAAAGGATAAATATATATATATGTATGTGTGTGTGTGTGTGTGTGTGTGTGTATGTATAACATATATGGGGATTATAAGAGACCAGGAACAGAGTGACAGTTTGAGCCTGTATGGAGGAGGGTGGAGGCCTGAGATTTGAAACTTGATCTTTTCCTACCCCTTTGATATTTCTTCACCCCCAGGTGCCTGCATTGTTGAGCCAAGGTCCTCCCCATTGTTGGCCATTATATAATGTCCATAGCACTGGAGGGTCCTTGTACCAGTGTCAAAGGGAATAAAGAGGAAGTGAGAGCTAGTTAGGTGAGGGAATGGTGCTTCTGTCCCTTGCCACTTTCAGTGATTCACCCAAAGCCAGAACCAGAGAAGACAGATCCACACAGCCCGGCTGAGACTCGTCCAGTTTTCCTTGGGCACCAAGACCCACTTACTCAGAGTATTTATCCAGTTTGGCTCAATCTCATTTTGAAGGGATGAAAATTTAGGGGTGGATCTAAGGAATAATAATAAATAAATAATAATAAATAAATAATAAATAAATAAATAATCTAACCATACTCAATAACTCTCTTGTCTCTCCGTTCCTCCATTCTCCCATTCTCTATCCCTTCATGGGGGGAGTGTTTTTGTCTGTCTGGGCTGCTACAACCAAATACCATAAACTGTGCATGACTTGTATAAACAACAAATTTATTTCTTACGATTCTGTCAGTTGGGAAGTCCAAGATGAAGGTGTCAGGAGATGCACTGTGAGGTGAGGGCCCATTCCTCATAGATGGCACCTTCTCGTTGTATCTTCACATGCTGGAAGGATTAATGCTCTCCTTTGGACCTCTTTCAATAGGGCACTAATCCCTTTGTGAAGGCTCCATCCTTATGACCTTGTCACCTTCCAGAAGCCTCACCTCCTAATACCTTCACACTGGGCATTGGGATGTCAACATGTGAATTTGGAGGGAGACACAAACTTGCAGATCAGAGCAGCATGCTAGGGGAAAGACGCCATCCAGCCCATGTTAGCAGGAGAGGAAAGGTTCCCACAGTCTAGCTGAAACCGCAGGCAGAGGATCACTCTGACCCTGGTTAATCACTAAGTTGATGGAAGGGAATGAGCAGTGTGCTTCTGAGATGGGACATTTTGGCCCAGGCTTGGGCTCAGGTGACAGCCCTATTGCTCTACTCTCAGACTTGCACATTGGTTATTTCTGTCTCTTTACATGTTTTGGGTCCCCATATTCAGGCATAGTTGTCACTTATTATTGTATATTTTTGGATTCTCCATCCTCACTCTTGCAGGTACATTCATTAAAACTTGCCCTTGAAGGTGTGGAAAAGGAAAGAGATTTCTACTTTGGGAAGTTGAGAGAGATTGAGCTACTCTGCCAAGAGCATGGGCAGGAAAATGATGACCTCGTGCAGCGACTAATGGAAGTACTCTATGCTTCAGAAGAACACGTAAGTGCCAGGAGCTCTCAGCCCCTGCATCTGAAATGACTCTCCTGGTCAAACTGCAATGGATCCACCTGCCTTAGAGTGCTTCCCTAAGACCTCAGTGAGAATTATAGCTCAATTAATGCACTTGATCTTCCCAGAAGAATATGCATCATGATCCACTGACCCATGCCTGTGGAATATGTGTCCATAAGTTAATCTGAGAAGAGATGAGTGCATAGTGAGGCCCAGGAGTGGGGAGGCAGCTGAGAAAAGCAGCCATATCCCAAGAGATAGTGTGAGAACCAACCTGAGCAGTAAGAATTTGTAGAAGGGCTCCTATTTCCTCATGAAAGATCACAGTATGGTTAAAGGAAAATACAATGTAGGTCCCATAAAGCCTATGGGTTTTTTTCATAGCTAGTTGCCTTGGTTACTCATCATCAGGGTAGAGCAAAACTGCAGAATGGCCCTTTGTTGAAAAGACTTCTAGATGGCCTCCTTTGCAGGGAAGGACCTGCCACCAGGGTTGCTGTTCATGAGCAGATGTGCTGAGGGAGACCCACAGTGTGGTTCTGCCAGGGGGACAAAAAGCAGGAGCAGGGAGAACGGTGATGTCACAAAGCCAGGAGGGGAGGGGGTGGGACAAGTGGCAGAGACTGGGGAGAGTCCCCCTAGTCGCCTGTGCCTGGAGGAAGAGGCCCAGCACCCAGGGGCAGAAGTGAGAGCCCAGTGGAGCTTGACCTGCCACCGAGCTGAGCTGTGGAGGGCCAGGAGGATTGGGCTCCAAGCATCTGAGGCCGGGTTGAAGCTGGTGCAAGCGTTCTGGTTCTGACTTGCAGGCCTGTAGATGTGCAAAGAGCACTGTGGTGGGGTCACAGTGTGTGAGCATTACCATGGGACATAACAGCCACCAGCAGGCTTACTTTGTCTTATTTCAGCTGAATGCCCAGCAAATATTTACTCCCTTTATGACCTAAAATCCTAGCAATGAAACTTTCCCGACCTGGAAAAACTGTGCTCAGATTTGGGGGTTCTCCACTATTGTTTTCATTTCCCCTGATATTTTGTTTTAAACTTCTTTCTTGGTGGCCAGTAGCTTAGAATGCAGATTTTTGAAGCCCTGGGAATCTGCCTAGTTGGGCCCCCAGAGGACATGATGGTTGAGGACATGTGGTTCTGAGTGTTTTCATATCTGATGGAAGTAGCGAGAGGCTGGTCGTCTGGCCTGCTAGCTAGAGGAGAACTCGCACATGGGCCTGGGTCTCTCCAGCAGGAGAAAGAACATGATTCTAAGCCAGATCTTGTCCCAGGAGGGAGGAGTCCTTGCACAGGAGCATTGACACATGAGCTCCAGATGAAGAGCTGCATTCCTAGCTAAGGAGATGGAGGGCAGCCTCCCACAAGAGTCCTTGCCTCCTGGGTGTGATTTCAGGGAGTGCTGCTCAGATGACCACCCTCTGGTTGGTTCTGCCATTTCCATCACCCACACCCTCACCCCACACACTCCCTGGCTGCCTGCTTGCAGTGTGTGGACGGTCAGGATGCAGACACCTGGGAGAGCAGTGTTTTAAAGCCTCATCAATCATTAAGACTGAGTCTGTCAGGTCCTTTTCTCAAGCACCTGGGATGGGGCAGATGGAAGAGGGCCCAGGGCTTTATATCTGTTAGTTTATTAGCTCCTTTAGTTCTCTTGATAACTTATTACGTAGACATTGTCATCATTCCATTTCATAGATGAGGGGAAACTAAGACAGTAGAGGTCTTTCCCAAGTTTATGAGCAGGTAGTCGGAATATTGAGTTCTTATTCTCCCTTCTCCAAGCCTGAACCATGTTTTTTGGCTGTCTTGGGTGGGCTACTTTTTGTTTTGGTTTGCTTTTGGTGCTGGGGATTCAGCCCAGGGGGCACATGCATGCTAACTAAGCACTTGCTCTACCACTGAGCTACCCCTTCACCCCTTTTAAGTGGGATTGTGACAGTAGCAATAGTGAAGAGTTAGTGCATATTTAGCATGTGCTAAATATTATGTTCATATTCTGTATACATTTTTCACCCTAACCATATCCCTATGCAGCAAGTACTGTTACTTGCATTTCACAGATGAAATTATTTGCTTAGCAACTCCAGTTAGTAGCACAAGATTTGAACCCAGGTTTATGTACTTAAGAGCCCCAAATCTTTAGGACTGTTACCTCCCTCTCAGCATATTGGATGCCATGGGGCAGGGAGAAGTCAAAGTAGTGCCACTTGGGGAAACCTCAAAATAGCCTGTCTACTTAAATCTTCAGTCAAGCACGCTCTGTGTGTGTAGGAGGAAGTAGTCAGACACCTCCCTGGATTTCTCCAGATAACTCCCTAGTTTCATTTTTGTTAAATGAGACTCCAAAAGTCTTATCTCTGCCTCCTTCTCTGGGCATACATCCATTTAAGTCCGTGGAGAACTTCTGTTTTCTTCTGACTAATGGGTTACTTTTCTCAAACCACCTTTGTGTCATCTCTGGCACTCTGCTGCTATCTTCAAATAGAAATGTGGTGAGGAAGGGAGAGAAGAAAGACATTGGCATCACTACTTAAGTGTATGCTAAGAACTATCCAAAATCCAGGAAGAGATTTACTTAGAGTAACCAGGCAATTTAAATCTGTAAGAGAATATAGACTTGAACTACGTGCATGGGTTACCAAAGCAAAATCTTTATGTACAGTTGCTGGCTTAATTTTTCTGGTTCCAGTATATATTTCATTGCAACTTTGTGTCTGGAAAACCTATAGAAACAGGTCAGGCTACACTGAGATTTCTGTGGAAAATAAGGGTTTTGATTTGCAATATGCTAGGTATCCATGTTTAGACTGTGGCAAGACCAAGGTTTGATTTGGTTTGGTTTTCTCTTTCCACATTTTTTATTGGTACATTGTAGTTGTGCATAATAAAGGATTTGTTAATTTGTTCATACATGCACACAATGTAACAAAATAATTTGGCTAATATCACTCCTCACTGCTTACCCCCTCCCTTCCCCTCCTCCCACCTCTTCATCCCTTTCTTCTACCCATCTCCTTTTGATTTTCATAAGATCCCCGCAACCTCCCCTGTCTTTTCCTTTTTCCTCTCTAGCTTCCACATATGAGAGAAAACATAGGACCCTTAATCTTCTGAATCTGGCTTATTTTGCTTAATATGATGGTCTCTAGTTTCATCCATTTTTCTACAAATGCTATAGTTTCATTTTTCTTTTATGGCTGAACAAAACTCTGTTGTGTGTATACACCACATTCTTTTCCTTATCCATTCACTCATGAATGCACACCTAGGCTGGTGCTATAGTTTGACTATTGTGGATTGTGCTGCTGTGACCGTGGGTGTGCATGTATCACTATATAGTATGAGGACTTCAGTTCTTCAGGATGAAGAGTGAGGAGGAGATGCTAAATACTGAGGAGGGAAACCAAGGTTTTTTAAATTTTGGTTTCTGAATAGGAAGGGAAGACTGCTGTGCCTGGACTGTGTGCTGAGCACTTTCTGTAGACTCTGCCAACTGTGAGCACAGACATGCACACGTGGTTCTGCTTATAGAGGTATACATAAGAACCTCGGGAGCCATAGGTGGACTCTCCTTCCTGCATCCCCTGCCTGAGGCTCAAGGAACTGTCCAATACACCTCAAAACCTTCAAGGTTTGCCTTCCTCCCTGAGGCTGGTGAGTCCTGCCTCTGGGACAGCCTCCCAGAAGCACCACCAGTCTCTGCACTGGGGCATGAGCCTTAAGAAAGCTTTGACTCCTGGCCACTGCCCATGTGGGTCATTGTCTGCAAAGACATTACTTTTGAACAAGTGGCTGTGATGCCACTGCTGCTAACTCTCTGAATTGTCCTTTTGCCCTGTCTTGCTCCTGATACTGTGTCCTGTTTTTAAACTATTTCCATACCTGGGTGGTGAATAGGTCACACTCACATGCAAGTCCGATATACATGATATCTGGGAGAAAATGTCAGTACTTTGTCAGAAAATGTCAGTACTGAGATGATGGATTATACAAATCTGAAATGACAGAGGCTTCTGGTTGGCTGCCTTTTCCTCCTGAAGGTAAGGGAGGTGCTGAAGAATTGAAGGGTAGACAGTTGGGTATGCTCTCCAATTTCAGGTAGGTGTATTTGCTGGAAGGGGAATCTCTTCCACTAAGTGATGACTGGCTTCTGATTCTTATAGTCAAGCAATCCCAGAATATAATGTTTGGAAGGTAGAAAAATCTAGCTAGAAGTTTTGAGCAGGGGAGTCAACAGGTAATTCATTTCCCAGGTGTAGAAACCCTATGGAAGTTTTCAGAGCAGATTGCCAGCCAGTTGTCCAGTGCCTCTCTGTCACATTGTCATTATCTTTTCCCTCCATATTTAACTTGGGCCCACAGGTATGTGAGCTGAATCATTGGCTATCTGCTCCCTTATGGATTTTGACAGCCAAGGTGCAATAGCTTATAAATAGCTGCTTATCTCCTGAGGTACTGTCATGGAAGCCACTTTAAAAATGACCTAAAGACTTTCTTTCTCCTCAGCAGTGTTTTGATACAGGCAGTGTTTCTGTCACTACAGAGTCTGTGCATTCCACTGGATAAAGCAATGGCTGTGAAGGAAAAACACACAACCCCTCCCACAGAAGAGCCCACAGTCCCTGGAAGGAAGACAGGGACACAACTAACTGGAATCTGTGCCTGATTATAATAAATGTGATAACAGAGACATAAGTCAAGTTGTGGGGAGTACACAGAAACCGCCTAGAGGGCCCAGCAAAGATGTCACAGTGAAAATGGCTTTTGTTGGATGTTCAAGGATGGCTAGGAATATCAAGTTAATAAAGCTAAGGTAGGGTGTATTTCAGGCAGAGGGAACTTGGATTAAAACAGGGAGGAAAGAAGAGCCAACCAGGGCTGTCGTAAGTAGTGAGTGGGAGATGAGGCCGAGCACCACCCCCTACATTTGGAAGCAGGAGCTTCTGGGTGAGCCTCCTCCCTCCTCTGCCCCCATTCTCTTCCCACAGTGGCCAAGACCCTTCTTCAGTACTTTCTTCCAACTTCTCTAACCCTTACAATAAGAATAAAAAAAAATTCACTTCACTCACAGTTCACTTAGAGAGATGTAATGGATTGAAAGGAAATAGCAGAATTGAGCAGGTGTCACTTCAGTTCATTGGCTCCATATTTGACACAGGTTTTACCTGAGCATCTACTTAACATGTGGATTTAAAGTCTTCATTTTTATATGGATCAAAGAAAAAGGTCTTTTGTTTTTCCTCCTGGGAACCTATGAAAGCGCACAAAAGGCTGGGCAAGCTCAGATGTGATATGTAGTATTTCAGAATTATAGATGTATTCTGCCAAACTTTCCAGTTTCCTTAACTTGCACCCCAAGCATTAGCAACCCATTGATAACTTGGAAGATTTGTTCTTTATTGCCTGATAAGCATGATCTGGGGTCCATGGTTCCTGCAGATATTTGATATCACAAGCAGTTTCCTGTGGCTAGGACTTGAGCCTGGTGCTCTAGGGAGCTGCCCTTGCCATCTGGGAACCACAGAACCATAGACAAGGGCAATGGACCCACCCCCCTTCTTTAGCATGTTTGGGAAGAATGCCTGCAGAGGGGCCTCATGGGTGGGTTCTTAGTCCTGTAGCTTGTTAACAGATTTAACAATTCCTTGAATCCAGGTCTTCCAATTGCAGTTCTTAGTTAATTCCATTATCCCACAGTTAACTCCCAACTGTGACGAGCTTTTCTCTAAAACGTAAAACAGATCCTCATTTCTGAGATCTTCCCCTCATCAATGTAGAATGCACAAAAGCAATTATGTAAAAAAAGCATGCTTTATACCAGCTGAAGTTAGAGCGATATAGTATGAAAGACACCACACTAGATTCAAGAGTTAGGAAGAATGAAACGACATCCCTCACCCAGGGGAGTCTCTGAGCCAGAGTGGAAAGGAAGACGGCCATCCTGTAGAAGCACACACAGGGCTGAATCCCACATGCCCTCTAACAGAAGCAGAAACAAGGTTTCAAAAGCTTGGAGAGAGGAGCTGTTACTGTGGCGTGGTGGCAGGGAGAGAGGTTTCAGGGAGGAGCAGCATTTTCAGAAAGTGGAGGAGCCGGGGGCAGAATAGCCACTGGGAGTTCCCAGGCACCATGTCTATAAACAACCCACCAGCATGTCGTCTCCATGAGGAGAGTACCTGTTCTAAGACCAGTGCCTGTTTTCTATTTTGTGCCACCCCACCATAAAATAACCTCCTATTCCTCATGAGAGGACCACCCTCACCTGTGCCAAGCAGTGGGCAAAGCCAGCAGCAGAGGATACTGCCAGGAGTATAGCCACAGCATACCCAGGGGCCCCTGGGATCGTCTGACACTACAGATTCAGGACTCTGCTCTCCAAGATCAGAGAGCATCTGCAGTTAAGGAATCCAAGTGTGAGGATCAGAAAAACAGAAGTGGTCAGAGAGGAGGATATTGGGCCTTACCCTTGGTGGCACAATTTATGGGGTACCCAGGTATGGTTAGGGTTAGGGGAGAATTCACCTTTACCAAATAATGTGCCCATTGTCACAGAGTTAAAGAGACATTACTAAATGTAATCCCAGGTTTTTAATACAATGATGTCACTTTCAACTGTTGGTTGTCACAGAAAGGGGTTTTTTTTTCCTTAATTATTTGTGCTTAATATATTCCAAAGAGTTGTCTCACAAAAGAAATCATAATCACAGCTCATATTTACTATCTACTAAATACTCCTGCGTTGGGTTCGATTAATCCATTGATTCACTGATCAGTGAAACACTGAAAACTCTGCTACGTGAGTACCCCTATCCCTGTCTCAGACAAGAAACTGAGGCACAGAGCAGTTGCGATATATTTACAGCTGGTAAATAGCTCCAGAGTCTCATGCTTTTACATTATACAGCCTTTCAGAAAAGACTCAGCATATGATCTTGGCTGATAGTCTGGTAGTCTTGGTCATCTATACTTGAATCCTCTGAAACCTTCCTCTTGCCACAACACATATTGCCTTCTGTACTGACTGAGAAGGGACATAGTCGAATGAGCCCCTACTCCTGACCTCAGAATCTCAGGATGCAGTGGACGAGGCTGAAAAATTCAAGACAAGATTACAAGTCGGTTTCATAGCACAGGAAGAGCAGAGTGCTGCAGGAGAAGGGAAAGAGATCATTCTGGCTCAGGGTACTGGAGAGATGACCACACTCTATTTGAATTGGTTCTCAACCGTTTTGTCCTGAGCTACAGGGAATATGGGTCAGATAGGAAGGGGGTGGGTGGGTTTGATGGTTCAGGAGTCTGTGTGCCAGGTGTGAGAGGACCTGAGCACATCTCTGTGTGCTGGCACACATGCCACACTGCACCATAAAACCGTGTGCTGTTATTGAGGGGGCAGTTAGCTGCTGTTGGTTAGCTTTACTCCTTCAGCTTGGATAATAAAGAGCTAGTTAATTCTTAATGAGGTCAAAAATTGAAAGAATTTACATCTGTGGCTTAGTTGGTAACCATGATACTCTTCACCGGGTTAGACAAATGAATAAATAGATATTGGAAACCAAGTAGAGAAACACAGTCAGGGAATAGAAAGTAAGCAAAGACCTCAACCACCCTGAACAGATATCCCAAAGTCCTTGAGCCAAAGCTCCTAAGCTCTCTGCTAAGAGGGGTCTATTTGCCAGGGGCAGCCCATGAAACATGGCTGCTACCATTTCCTTCCCCTCAGAAACTCAAACAGGTTACTTTTGCTGGTATCTCAGCCCACATCAGATTAGTAACCTATTGTAACAAAAAGGTCTGGCTTCAGGCAGACAAGAAGAAGGAAAGCAGGGAAGGAACCCGGAAGTGGGTCAGAAGCACCACATCCTGGACCATTAGTGTAGGGGCAACCGTCCTACACAGGCCTAGGATGCTGTTTTATGTTCATTGTGGTCATCATGATGCTGTAGAGTCATTGTGTTTAGTTGACTCTCTTACAAAAGGTGGGAAAGTGGGGCTGGGATTGTAGCTCAGTGGTAGAGCACCTGCCTAGCACCTGTGAGGCACTGGGTTCGATCCTCAGAACCACATAAAAATAAAGATATTGTATTCATCTACAACTAAAAAACTAGGAAAATATGTGATGTGTTCTCTGAAGTTTTCCTTCTAAAACAGTTGGAAGAAAATTGGGGGGCTCGAAGCCTAACGATTGTGCTTTCTAGAATGACCATTCTTTGATGGCCCTGCATGCATGTTGACCACTGGGATCTGGGAAACCTGGAGGGTTGTATCCAAGCCTAGTGTTCTCTGCAGCCCGGAGATGACACACTGCGCAGTGACCTTGGGCTGGGATCCCTCAGGGCCTCAGACCATAAATTATCTCAGCTGAAACTTCTCCCTGCCTCACAGGAGGGCCACACAGAAGAGCCGGAAGCCGAGGAGCAAGCCCATGACCAGCAGCCCCAGCAGCAGGAAGAGTACTGACCCGTCTCAGCAGCTCTTGACACTTCCATTGTGCGTGGGAACTTTTCTTCTGGAGAATTGGAACACGTGCAGCCTCAAGCTCAACAGAAACCAGTTGTTCCCAGTCTGCCGTTACCATCAATACACTGTTGCGTATGCCAGCCACTGCGCTTGGTTCCCATTTCCTTTGCCAAGATGCATTAGCTGACGGTCATTCTGGCCGCCTACCTGAGAGATCATAGGGTCACATACCTTCAACTTCACCATTTGGCTGCTTGAGATTGGTTCTGCTCTTTTCCTCGTTTCTTTCCAGAACAACTTTCCCTACCCCAAAACCACTTCCACCACCACCACCCCTTTTTATCCTGGTGTGAAACAATGGTAATTTGATATATGGTATTTATATTGGCATTTCTCAACCCAGTGTCACTAGATGTCACACGCATTTGTGGTGCTTTGATGTTTGCAAGTCTAACTTCTGAACATAAATTTGGTCAAAGAATTGGAACAAAGGGAAACAGATACTTGATATGAAAGCCATAATGACAGTGACTTGTGTCATGAGGGGAAACATAGGGTCAGTTTCTCCCTCTTGTCACAACACTAAAGGGAAAAAAAAATGGATTCAAAACTAGGACTTCAGGGCCCAGCAGTGTTCATAGAGCAGCATGTTAGACAACCATACAGTATGTTGTTAGTTTTGAAAGACATTTACTCAAGGAAAACACCATCTCAACTTTGCCCTCTCTCCGCGTGCCCCTCCCCTCCCATCCTCCTCCCCTGGTTCCCATGTTATTTTCTTTCTCAGGGTCCTCTTTGGTGGGCAGCCACTCTCCCAAGATGTTGTCATCAGTAATCTGCAGTCCACAGGGGGTCTTAGTAGGTGCAGGTCCTCCTGGCTGGTCCCTCTTCCTCCTCGTGTGGCTTTCAACCCAAATCCTGTCATCCACACTAAGGGATCCCTACTAAAGGATAACTTCAAGTGTGCAGCCCAAGCTCCAGGGTTCTGCATCATATTGCACACTGGCTGGAAGGCTGGAAGTGAAGACCTAATTAATAGGAGCATAATTCCAAGGGAGAATCCTGATTCTGCAGTCTGGTGTTAACACTGGAATAACAGCACAGAAAAACCTATGACTCTCAATATCTTCTGGAATAAGGAATTTCCCCTCTTTAACACAAGGGCCCTCCTTGTCATTGACATTTGCTAAACCATGGCAATTCATAAACAGAGAAACATTAATGAATTAAAAGCATTCCTTATTTTTTTAACTAATATTTGCACATTTTCTTAGTCTCTTTCCAAATCTTTGCCTCCCTCCTCCCCCACACACACCTTTTGACAGATGGTATCCCTTCCTGGATCATTCAGTTTCACTTAATTTCTAAATTTAGGTTGACTTTCACTTGTTATTTGACTTAGCAGGTGCAACAACAACAAAATGTGCCCACCCCACTTTCCGCTTAACTGAAAAGCTTAAAATAAATTTCTGAATTGTGTATCATCAAGCTTTGAAATTTCTTTATTAAGTGATGAAATACCAATTCTAAATTCTGGCATTGAAGCTTGGCACCAAAAGAAGTCTTTCCAAAATAAATCTTTTGCAGCAAAGTGGTATTTATTGAGTTCTATGTGGAAAAGATGGCTTGTATTTTTGAGATTATTACAACACACTGTGCAGAATTGGACAGATGTTTTGTGGTGTTTGGTTTCCCTTTCTTCTCTCTCCTGCTCACTCTGCACACAGCGGCAGCTCATTTCTCTGAGGCTGGAAAGCCTGGCTCCTGGCAGTGACATCCTCCCTCACCTGGTTACAGGTAGTGGCTGTGCTATACACAGTGTCTTGCTTAACAGTGTGTTGCCCTCCTGAACCCATTGTACTCGCTGATGTTTTACAAATAGCTCTTGTAAAGAGGCACAATAAATAACTCCTTTCAGATACTTCGGTGGTTCCTAGGCCGCCATTCATCTTCCCCAACATCTCAGTAGTACCCAGTGCCAGGTGGTTCCTGTCACGTAGATGTACATGAATGTGTACCAGAGTGTCAGGATCCAGTCTTCTCCAGAACCACTTGTTAGTGTGGAAATTATACTTTCCACAAACCTCCCTGATGACTCTTGCTGGAACCACTCTTGTTCTCTCCAGCTCCCCAACTTTCTTGGCTAGAGACATGTTAGCCTGTAAAGAATACCATAATCCATTCTTCCTGATGATTTGGAGCAGATTATTCATTCATTTAGAAAGAGCCATAGATTCTCTGTCCCCATCTTAAACATCTTCTGCTGTGCTTTGCCAGGATGATGTCCCAGATGCTTTGGGGAATCTTTAACAGCTGTGTTTTGGAGTCGGTCTTGGGCCGCAACCCCTGCCTCTGTATGACCACCACTTGTTTCCCACAGATAGTGGGACCCCATCGCTCTTTCATCCTGTCATTCAGGACATGGGTTCCTCCGTACCCCACCCCCAGTAGCATGTCATCATTGCTAGGCAGAGAGGTATTCCTTGCTGTGTGCCCTGCTGCTGCTTCTCAGGAAGATGGATTTCTTTCCTCGTCCTCCCCTCTCACCCACTGTTGGCTGGTTATAGCACTTCCCATTGCTGCTGTCAGATTGGAAGTGATTGAAGCAGGGGGCAAAGAGAAAGCTCATGCTCATTCTAAGCAGAAAAGCAGGAAAAAAAAAAAAAAAAAGACAAGACAAACACCCTGTTGACCCGAGAGAAGTAAACTCCAGAAGGAAACCAAGAATTCCTCCCTTCCCTGGTGAGTATTTCCATTATTCCGTTAAGGTTTAATATGCATTCAGATTACTTTTACTAAATAGTACACCATAAAGCTTTTGTTATATATTAAATGTAAACTGAAAGGAATGTAAACATATGTATTGTTAATTATAAATATAGATAAGTAATGACATAATAGATGAAAAAGTCTTATTCAGATGTATCACATTCATTTTACATTACCCACCTATTGTCGCATGGTAGAATAGTTTTTTGTCTCTGAATATGTGAATAACTTGACTTGCGTTGATCTTTTTACATATTTAATAAAAAAAAGTATATGTCAAAATCTGCCTGGATTTATAAATTCTTTCCTTTTATACCAAAGATCCCTTTTCAGTGCTTTTCAGAGCATGTGTATATGGGAGATTTGTGTAGATTCAAATATCTACCCATAGTTGTTATGATTTACACAGGAAAAGAAGATGTCTTTGTATTTATTATGACTAATTATTTCACCAGAATTACAGGTTTATATTTGATATGACATCTGTAATACCTTTTTAAAAACTTTACCAAAAAATATAAACATAAAATGTTCCACTTGCAACCAAACAAAATCCTAGCTCTGGCAGACCCAGCCTCTTCCATCTGGACAAGACTGTCCTGGGCAAATAGACTTAGAGAAGCAGGCAGATGTTTCTAAGTAAAGCTTTGTGGCAAAACTACTTAGTTGACAAAAACTCTTTGAATGAGTGTGTTTGTTGAATTTAAAGGGTGATGATTTAATTTAAAGGGTGAATGATAATTTAGAGGGTAATCATCAGCATAAGCTCTCCATGGAATCCAAAACCTACAGACACAGGAGTGGGTGAAAAAAAAAAAGGAATGTATTAAAACTGGTCCAGTGAGCCACCTGCGGAGACTGTGGAACAGTTGAGCATCTTTTGAAGACCTTGGAGCCTGCAAGTGACTTGAGAGGCCACCAATACCCTTTTCACCCTGAAAGATATCAGCTTTGCCTAAACTGCTTTCAAGCACCACCTAGAGGCCAGTTGTGTTCCTATACTATCTTTTGGCAACTCCTCCATTCACTTGCCTTTAGGCACTTTTAAGAGTGGGAAAATAATCTGAGACAAACATACTACTCTTCTTTGCCATCCACATCCATTTGTCCCCAGGGTACATTGGTGACAGAAGCCTGCAAGCCTTTGCCTGGGTTATGAAAAACTCATGCTCAAAGCACACGTGTTTTTCATTTACTTCATCAACGCTGGTACTTTAAACACTGGATCTTAGACTTTTGTGCACAAATAGTCAAAAATATAGAGAATTGAGCTTATTCAAGAGGTATGTTGGTAGACTGTAGCAAACCTGTCATTGTTGGTTCAAATGTGATAAAATAACATGAGTGTTAGTTTTTCATCACTGTGACCGGAATACCTGATGAGAACAACTTAGAGGAAAGAATCATTTTTGGCTCACTGTTTCAGAGGATTCAGTTCATGGCAGCTGGGAAACAGAACAAGATAGGGGGTTGGGATAGCTACAGTTCCCCACATCATACCCCCAGTGACTTCCTCCAGCCTTGCCCCACCAGCCTATAGTTTTTACCACGTCCCAATAGTCTTCACAGTATTCATCCATTAAATGGATTAATCCACTGATGCAGTCAGAGCCCTCATGGTCCAATCTTTTCACCTCTGAACAAGGCTGCATTGCTTAACACTTAAGTTTTGATGGGTCGTTCTCGAACCAAACCATAACAACATGCTTGTTCTATTTGACTAAATCTGAGATCATCTCTAAAATGCTACTGATACTATGGGAAAGCTTCTAAGTCCAGAGACAAAATAAACAATTGTGGAATCCCACTGTTTGAATTATAAAATGCCAATTGGTTTTCTAAACACATACAACTTAGTGTGTTTCTTCCTTCTGACTGTGAGAACACAATTACTGTGATCATGAAGGCTGCTACCACTAGTAAACATTACTGACCCATTTATTTTCTCAGCACTAAGGCAATTCTGCCCAACAGCACAAGTGTTGGATCAGAGTATCTCCTTGGATGTCTGACAACCTGTTTTCCTGAACTGTGAACTCATAAAGGATGTTCTTAAAAGAACTTTGACTTGATTTGATAAAGAGAAGCAAAGCCTAAAGAGAAAATTCACTGATTCCTGGAGGACCCTCATGTGGCACCAGGACTTGGGGTCACAAGACTGCTCAAGGCCAGACCTCTGGGCTGTCTCTCAGACCCCATGTCTGTATAGGTGGATGTACATAGAAAGTGCACTGTGGAGGCTGAGTTTGCATCTGTGTTGTGTGTAAGGTGTATGAGCAGAATGGAAGGCCCAACTGAAGGTAATTTATTGGATTTTTTTTTCTCTCCAATGAAAGAAAATGTTAAACATTCAGCTTGCCAACTTTTAATTTTTT